TACGACTTTTTATCTCGTAATAACGACTTTCTTAAGTCGTAATAACGACTTTTTATCTCGTAATAACGACTTTTTATCTCGTTATTACGACTTTTTATCTCGTAATAACGACTTACTTAAGTCGTAATAACGACTTTTTATCTCGTAATAACGACTTTTTAAAGTCGTAATAACGACTTTTTATCTCATAATAACGACTTTTTATCTCGTTATTACGACTTTCTCAAGTCGTAATAACGACTTTTTATCTCGAAATAACGACTTTCGTAAGTCGTAATAACGACTTTTTATCTCGTTATTACGACTTTCTTTTTTAAGTCTATTTTCAATGGTTTTTCAATGGTTTGCTATTTTTGACCTTTCCGTATTCCGGAAAGTTATGACTGCCTCTTGAAGTTGATTTATACATCAAACTGACAAAATAAAATGAGTATCATCTGCTTATTAGGCACGTTAGGCAGGGCGGGGGTGGAGGCTTCCCTATTATTTTCTTAAACATAACTATATATATGGTAATTTGGTTATATATAACATAGACTTTCACGTTGATATTTTCAAAGTTTTTGTCTGTGAACGAAGAACATTTGAACAACAATTTAAACCCCTTTTTTGTAAATAAATACATTATATAGTCTACATAGGCATTGATAATTGGGGCTTACTGAGTAGCCCCCAAATATTTTTGTTGGTTTAGCCCCCCCCCCCCTCCACTTTAGTTTGCTTTCGACACGCGCTTATGTATCATATATACTAGTAATATTTTGAAATGATTTCTGCGATGTGCAACACTAATGTCTTCAATTTAGCGGCATATTGATTTAGATTATAAGTGTGTAAACAAAACACGTCCAAATATTGTCAATAATTACAGATTTTTGTCATAAATAAATTGTCAAACTCTGGTGCAACTTATAACTAAACAATCATCGCGTTTTCAGCTACACGACACCGTTATACCGGGCACGTTTCCGTTTTCTCTCCTAGAGGGATCAAGTTAAAAAAAAATATTTCAAATGAAAAAAAGATAAATAAAAAGTCGTTATTACGACTTAAGAAAGTCGTAATAACGAGATAAAAAGTCGTTATTACGACTTTCTTAAGATAAAAAGTCGTTATTACGAGATAAAAAGTCGTTATTACGACTTAAGAAAGTCGTTATTACGAGATAAAAAGTCGTTATTACGACTTAAGAAAGTCGTTATTACGAGATAAAAAGTCGTAATTACGAGATAAAGAGTCGTTATTACGACTTAAGAAAGTCGTTATTACGAGATAAAAAGTCGTTATTACGAGATAAAACGTCGTTATTACCACTTAAGAAAGTCGTTATTACGAGATAAAAAGTCGTAATAATGAGATAAAAAGTCGTTATTACGACTTAAGAAAGTCGTTATTACGAGATAAAAAGTCGTTATTACGACTTAAGAAAGTCGTAATAACGAGATAAAAAGTCGTTATTACGAGATAAAAAGTCGTTATTACGACTTAAGAAAGTCGTAATAACGAGATAAAAAGTCGTTATTACGAGATAAAAAGTCGTTATTACGACTTAATTTTTTTTTCTTCATTTTCTAATTTGACCCTTGTAGGCTTTCGTAAAGACACGAGTGTTTGTTACAGATTCATTCTTAATGGAACATCACTTCTTAGTTAAAAAAAAAATAAAGAAAAAAAGTTTCTTTTCCGGCAAAAATCAGTTCTTGCCAAAGACGTAAGCCTTAAAAAATACAGCAAGTTCATTGCCTGACGCCACGGCGTCAGGCACTACTAAGGATCAATATTTCCTAGGTGCGAAGCTAAGAGGTCACAGTTAGCCAGCAAAGAATGGAGGCGTACAAGGCGGGGAAAATCCCCCGCTCTGAAAAAAAGACATTTCTCAATTCAAAAAGTAGTATTTTTTTCAAAATTTTATGGTTTATATCATCTTTTACATATAAAATTCTATATTTCATTGTTTTGATAATTTATGAATAATTTATTTTTATTCATGTTTTTAAGACATTTGAAAAAAAAAGAAAAAGCTTCATGTATGATTCGTACTCTCTCCATAGCGTAGCACTGGTCCAAGACCAACCGCTTTAGCCACTACGCTACGAAGTATATGCACTATCAACGTCTTTCAATGTGAATTAAATGGACGGGTTTGTTGAAGCGAAATTTTTTTCAGAAAAGTTCGATTTTCATATAGAATGGGTTCAGATTCCATTTTTTGGACAAATGAAATGGATTTCACATTTACATTTCCATCATTTAAGCGTTCACGAAGAATGGAGACTTGACCCATTCATGTTCAAAATTCGTTTTTTATAGCTCTGTTAAACCCATTTTCCACCAAATATGCTTAACTGTCAACTTTAAAATAAAGATTATCAAATTATAAGTCGTTCAGTAAAATAAAATTATAAAATATTTTGAAGATGAAATTACTGAGAACATGATTTTAGAAAAATATAACTTTTTTGTGAATTTTGAAAATTGAGAAACATTTTGTGATGTATTTATTTCCTTTAGCTTTTTGCTAGCAGCTATTTATTTCATGCGAGTTCTTATACGGACACATCCGTTTGACCTTTTTTCTGCTTTTCTATACTACTGGATTGGTCCAATTTTCTTCTAGGTAAGGGGTGCCACCACTCGGAGTTCCTCGGATGACTCGTACCTCGCACATAACCTCGGCCGTCAACGGTGATCTACCATCTTGCTGATTCAGTCATGTGATCTTATTTGAATTTCTTTCAAATGTCATACATTTGAAATCGGAGTTATTTTGTGGCACACTCAACAATTTTTTCTTGCTTTCAAAGCCTGTTAACATGAGGATGTAATCAAAACCTGTTTACGATAAAGAATTGCATAAATTAAGAAACATTTTCGAAGAACGTTATGCAGAGCGAAATATGAAATGAGTGATAAGGCAGTTTCCGGCGGAGAAATGTAAGGATCTGTTGCGTATTCCTCCACCAATCACATCCGAGGTTTGAATGGAGCGGAGCGGAGTCAGCCGAGGATTGCCGATTGGGGTGCCACAATCATTTCGCGCCAAAAAGTCACGTGTAAGTTTTTGCGTCCTTTTCCTGGACTATTCTATTGAATGGAAATGAAAACTGCATGCATGATATAAAGTATGTTCTTTTTTGTCGGAATCCTGGTTGAACTTTGGAAAAAAAACATATCGGTGATATTGTTAAGTGAGTAAAAAGTTACATCATTTAAAATAATACAAAAGAATTAATAGGATGTACTGGCCAAATATACAGCTGGTCATAACCCCCCACCCACCCCCTCCAGGGGGTTTCCTCCTACAAAAACAGAGCATAGACTTATGAAAGAGTCCTCTCACAATTCAGAATGGACCCCAAGCTCATCCCTGGGAAAAACTTCCTGAATCCGCGCCTGTCGCCATTCATATATAGCCGTCAAGTTTGTTGGATCATTTAAGTATATAGGGCTTTATTTATCCCACGTTTCCAACAATCTTTGATGCTCTGGCATACCCAAGAAACTATTAAACATATTCTGCATGTCAGTCTTAACCGTTACGATTTCCAATTTCTTGTAGTTATCATATAAATATAAATATCATGAAATAAATAGCTGCTAAAATGAATGCATGACTCATATTTTGTGCAACATCTTCATAATTTACTCAGTCTAGTGAAATAATTTAACAACCCCCCTCCCCCAATGTAAACGTTTATAACTTATCATGCTTATAGGTTCTCTAGATATTGATGGCATTAGTCAGGCAAGCTTTTTGAAAAGCTGTTACTTATGTGAGCCAAAGTTCTGCAGTTAGTGCTCCATGTGAGCTAAAGTTCTACAGTTAGTGGTTCATGTGAGCTTAAGTTCTACAGTTAGTGGTTCATGTGAGCTAAAGTTCTACAGTTAGTGGTTCATGTGAGCTAAAGTTCTACAGCTAGTGGTTCATGTGAGCTTAAGCTGAACAACTCGTAAATAGCCATAGTCCACCATATTTCCTGTTCTCCTGTGGCGATGAAATATTCAAATTTTTCGTATTTTTCCAAAACAGGACATAAGTATCATGAAAAATACAGTTCAATACATTATTTACAAACAGAAAATGCAAATGAAAACAAGGAATAAATGCAAAAAACCTAAGACCACGAAAGGAGTACTACATGTCGGCTGCCACGAGTTTCGAGTGTGCAATCGGGTGTAACGAAATAGAACGGTTTATATACTCGTCTGACGGTGCCTATTTATGAGAAGTGTTCACCTTTAAGTTATACAGCTGGTGTTAAATATGAGCTTAAGTTCTACAGCTAGTGGTTTTTGGGGGCTATGATTATAAAGCATGTGGTTCCTGTGAACATTCGCTTTTACAGGTGGTTCATGTGATGTAGTTATACAGGTACTGGTTCACATGAACTGCAGTTCTAAATCTTGTGGCTCATGCAAGTTACGCTTATGCAGTAAGCGGTTTTTGTTAACTGTATTTCTGAGGCATAGGCTTCAGAACAAGGGGGCTAAGGGGGGCTTAGCCCCCTCACCTTTTTTGCAGAGATAAACATAACATAGACATTGCACATTTGGACTTAGGTTTAGTCCACCCCCCCCCCCCCCCACACACACACACATATACAAACACTTTCAACAAGCACGTAGCAGATTAGATCCAAAAAGTGTAAGTGGTGGTGTTTTGAAAAAAGTTTAGTACTGAAAGAATTTTGCACTCCCCTCCCCCCTTTGGAAAAAAGGTACATTTTCTTTTTTTGCTTGTCAAGTTTTTTTTTGTAGCCTGGAAGTTTTACACTCTTACACTTAGCCCCCCCCCCACTTCCAATGTTAGTGTAAGGCTGGTGGTTCATATGAACTTTCAGTTCTACAGCAAAGGGATCATCTTCAGCATTTATTTGTTTGATTTTGCTTCATGCAATATCTAATTTTTTTTTATAAAACTTTCAAAAATACAAAAAATATCTTTTTTTGTGAGCAGTGTCCTCCCTTTAATACAGATACCCTTATATTACCCTCACTGGTAACATCATCATTAATATATTCATCTCTTACATACACTGTCTTGATATTCTTGGAATGAGCCGTACTTCAGTCAATTATGAGTTATCACAGTTTTAATTGTCTTCAGCAATGTTTTACAACTGCCATACACAAATAATTCACAAAATACAAACCTATCTAGTACAAACTGTACAATCATGTAGGAATAACTGCCACAGAATGTTCTTGAGTGTCTTTTGCAGCCTGTTTCTTACTTGGTTTGTTCACAATCATAAGCACAATAAGTAAAGGTATGTGTATTAAACTAAAACGAAAAAGTTTCCGAGACGAATTGCTGTCTCCTTGCTGGTAGAACTTCCATCCGAGATATGTAAAGTACAGATTGAGAGGTAGAGACATGACAGGAAACAGAGGGGTGGTTAGATCCACCACTGGGGCCAGGAAACATAGTCCCGTTATTCCTGCTGTGTGACGCAGAGCAACACGTTTACAAAGATTAGGATCCACCACTGACATCATTCTGTACCCTGCCCTGGAGTAATCTGGTCTCAGATTCCAACTTAGAGCATTAAAATGGGGAAACTGCCAGCAAAACATAATAGCTGCCATGACCCATGCACCTACAAAACAAGGGAATGTTCAATGCTTTTCACTTTCTTTAACACAGAGAATTTAAAAGACATAACTATAGAAGTAATATGTGTAATTGTATCTCAAAATTAAAACTGTTTATAAAATGATTTAAAATTATTCAAAACAAGTCTGTTCATATTAGTTTTCCAGTTAGATAAACAAATAGTGCGAGAAACAAGAAATATAAAACTTATAAATATCAAAGGTTTATAACATGAAAGCAGAATTTTTAGCAGAATTTTTAACAAGGATTTCATTTTGGCAGTATTAGCAAGGGTGTTGAGATCAATAAAATTGAAAATTGCTAAAAATGATTGAGATTTATTTGTAAAAGCTTCTTAATTGAGCATTTTAAAATCGTTAAAATTACATCTCATTAAAAATAATATATAATTTTTAAGGTCAAATCACTAAATTTGCATCTCGCTAAAACTTCCACTTATATTGTATGAAGTTGATTGTAAGCTGTAGGGGAGGAGATTTTACAATCTTATTCCAATGTGCCCATGCAGACTGCCCATTCCATCAGAGGATTGACAGCTTTAGAGGAGGTGATTACACTTACCTGGGTCCAGTGTACCTGTGCAGGCTGCCCAGCCCATCAGAGAACGGACAGCTTTAGGGGAGGTGATTACACTTACCTGGGTCCAGTGTGCCCGTGCAGGCTGCCCATCCCATCAGAGGAGGAACAGCTCCCACCACAGAGCCCACCCAGGTGTTGACAATACTGAGTCTCTTCATGGGAGTATACACCAGAGTGTAGAGACCAAGGTTGAATGCCCCTAGAGCAGCTGTGAGGGGATTAGCTCCCAGGGCCAGAATCACTAGTCCAACACTGCCAGACACGGCAGCAAATGTCACAGCATGCAAAGGGCTGGAAAACAGAAAACAGTCTTACAATTATAGCCATCGTTCTACCAAACCCATAAAAGATAAATGTCACTGAATGAATCTACCTGGCAAATCTCAACCTAATTTTTCATGTAAGTGTGCATCCCTAAATCTATAATGTTTACAGTGAAATTTCTGCTCCCTTATTATCTTTGCCCCTTTCACCCTACTCACAGTTTGGCAAATTGAGCAAGTGGAAGGAACAAAGTTTAATTTTTTAAACAGAATGGTGACTGGGCAAATTTAAAATGGGGTTAAATTGTGTGCAACTGTGAAAGAGTGAAAATAACACTAGGTGAAAATTACCTATCTCTCTCTCTCTGCATTGATCAATTGATCTCCATGCAAAAGATTTTAAAAAAAAAACAGAAATGCTATTTCACCTTAGATATCCTCTAACAAGCACTCTATTTTTGGTCCTGTTCATCTGGGAATCAAATGGCACTTCAAAAAACTAAAAAATAAAATCATTTTCGTAAAAAAAATGATTATGATTCCAAATTAATTAAAGTTTAATTTACTCAGGTGAGCTTAAAAAAAATTGTGTGTGTGTACCAAATTTTTTTGTATTACAGTATATGCTTAATTTTAAAGTTTTGCCTTTTAATCAATAGAATTTTATTCCATTTTATGCTAAATTTCGCCAACAGTCTGAATGAAAAACATACACTTGGATCTACATTCAATGCTATAAATATAACACTGACCTGATTAATGGCATTTGCTGAGGCAGATGTCAGCCCCGTACCTAGGGTCACCATTGTAAAACCAACGGGATCAAATACTGCGGGAGCCATAGCATAACCTGCCATAGCCGTCAGCACAACTAGACCTGTTCAAAAGATAAAACATTCTTACTGCATGCCACATGCACTTACATATTAAATAAATATCCCTAGGCAATAAATTACTTTAAACAGTAAAACTAAAATGAATGCTTGTTGGTACCTGTTAACCTGATCTTTGATAGCCTGAAGTAGTACTGAATCAGTTTATTGTAGTCTGTTCTCATTTCTTGCCATATACACTCTGTAATAGATTCTGGATTATGGGCTGGACTTCGATCTCTCCTGTCTTTTTCCAACATATCTTTGAGCTTTGCAAAGTCTTTAGGATTTACATCAACAGTCAATGTGTCTTCTGACTTTGGAAAAGACACAGTAAATCTGTTGCTAATTTCGTCTAACATCACAAGTGTCTGTGATTTTTTTATGAATAGTGTTAGGGGCACAGGTCGGAATTTTCCTTGTGGAAATTTGTCTTTGCCATTGGCAGAAGATGCATATCTAATTCTTGTCTCCTGGTGAGAAAACTTCATCTCCTCATCTTCCTCTGATGTTTTTAAGTTTGAGTCTGTGGAGACACATCTTGCATTTGTTGTCAGCCCATGCTTCATCAAGATGGTGTTTTTCTGTCACATAAAGCAAAATATTTTAAAGATGATAGTTCTTTCTCTTTGTCAGAACAGGATACGAAATGCACTCTATAAATTTTGAACCGTAACGGTATAAAGTGGACTTCCGTGATACAGGAAAATAATAAATGCCTATTTAAAAATTTTTTTCACATCACTTCATTTTTATTTCATCATTATTTTGAATTTCATTTTCAAATCAAAATTTAAAAGGATTTGCGTATTAAAACAAACTCAATGATGTTACACATGAATATTACGGCTGATAGTCGTGCGCATGTCGTAGTTTGGATTGTTTCCAGTTGAATGCATCTTTACCACAATTTTCAAGTTAAATTGAATTTAATTTGTATATCATTCATTGTAATTCAGCTACTTTTTTTACAAAATGTTAAATTTATGTTAGATTTCGACATAAATAAACGATTGTACATTTACGCAGAATCGAGCAGATTTATCAACAAGAGGCCCATGGGCCACATCGCTCACCTGAGAAGCTTTGAACATTCCGTTCTTTACCAGATTTCCCCCTTGTTATACATGTTGTGACCCCACCCTACCCAACTGATGATAATTTAAACAATTTGAAATCTACACTACCATAGGATGCTTTGATTCAACATAGTAAGACTTTGATTCCCCATTGTGGCCCCACCCTACCCCCAGGGGTGACATGATTAGAATAATTTAGAATCTATACTATCCCAAGATTCTTCCACATAAGTTTCTGCTTTTCTGGCCCAGTGGTTCTTGCAAAGAAGATTTTTCCTATATATATCTATGTAAAAATTTGATTCCCCATTGTGGCCCCGCCAAACCCCCCGGGATCATGATTTTTACAATTTAGAATCTACACTACCCCTGGATGCTTCCACATAAGTTTCAGCTTTTCTGGCTCAGTGGTTCTTGAGAAAAAGATTTTCAAAGATTTTTCCTATATATTGCTATGTAAAACTTTGATCCCCCATTATGGCCCTGCCCAACCCCTGGGGGTCATGACTTTAACAATTTGGAATCTACACTACCCTGGGATGCTTCCACATAAGTTTCTGCTTTTCTGGCCCAGTGGTTCTTGAGAAGAAGATTTTTAAAGATTTTTCCTATATATTTCTATGTAAAACTTTGATTCCCCAATGTGGCCCTGCCCAACCCCTGGGGGTCATGACTTTAACAATTTAGAATCTACGCTATCCCAGGATGCTTCCACATAAGTTTCAGCTTTTCTGGCCCAGTGGTTCTTGAGAAGAAGATTTTTAAAGATTTTTCCTATATATTTCTATGTAAAAGTTTGATTCCCCATTGTGGCCCTGCCCTATCCCCGGGGGTCATGATTTTAACAATTTAAAATCTACACTAACGCAAAATGCTTTCACATAAATTTCAGCTTTTCTGGCCCAATGGTTCTTGAGAAGAAGATTTTTAAAAATTTTTCCTATATATTTCTATGTAAAAGTTTGATTCCCCATTGTGGCCCCGCCCTATCCCCGGGGGTCATGATTTTAACAATTTAGAATCTGCACTACCTAAGGATGCTTTCACATAAGTTTCAGCTTTTCTGGCCCAGTGATTCTTGAGAAGAAGATTTTTAAAGATTTTTCCTATATATTTCAATGTAAAAGTTTGATTCCCCATTGTGGCCCCGCCCTATCCATGGGGGTCATGATTTTTACAATTTAGAATCTACACTACCCCAGGATGCTTCCACATAAGTTTCAGCTTTTCTGGCCCAGTGGTTCTTCTCTCAGCTTTTCTGGCCCAGTGGTTCTTGAGAAGAAGATTTTTTAATGACCCCACCCTATTTTTGTCTTTTCTTGATTATCTCTCCTTGTGAGGGGACTTGGCCCTCCATTTTCACAATTTAAATTCCCCTTCATATAAGGATGCTTTGTACCAAGTTTGGTCAAAATTGGCCCAGTAGTTCTTGAGAAGAAGTCAAAAATATGAAAAGTTTACAGACGGACAGACAGACGGACGGACGAAGGACAAAATGTGATCAGAAAAGCTCACTTGAGCCTTCGGCTCAGGTGAGCTAATGATACAGTATTACCCAAGCTGAACAGGTTAACCAGCTGAACATTAAACAATTAACGTCTCAGAGACACCTGGCTTGGGGTTTCTCTAAAAACGCATTTCTACAGAAACAGTGTGTAGTCAAAACATGGGTGTGAAAGGTGTGAATTTTATGTTAAAAGTGTGAATTTCTGACAACATCGAGATACACGGAGTCGTCCGTGCGTGACGAGCGACCAGCTGACAAACAATTATGCTAAGTAAAGCAGAAAATTCCCCCGTTGTCAATATATACCAGGTAAATTTTGCTCTTAGGACTGTGAATATACGTTGAGATAAGCTGGGTAGTCAACATTACAGAGGTCGACATATCAGAGTTTTTGCAAATCATTTATATAGTAAATAATGCCAGGCCCGCGGACGAACATCGACATATCCCAGGTTGTGGACATATCCGATGTCGAGATAAAGAAGTTTACCTGTATGTTAATTGTGGAAGGAATATGTAAATTCCCCAATGCCTCAATAAATGCGCTTTTGCTTTACTTTAATAAAATTTGGAATAGAATATAAAAAGTCCACCATTTGGTCAGTAAATGTTGTGTCCGATATGGGAGATTGTCACTCAAATGGGTGATAAATGACCAATGTGCCCAACCTGTTGGTTGTGAATAATTCAAATGAGTTCAATATTGAAAATTATCAGTGTGTAATGGTTTGGGCTGTGGATAACAGCCTGCATAGCTCAGTTGGTAGAAAACCTGACTCGAGATGCAGGGATCCCGGGTTCGATTCCGGGTCCAGCCACATATTTTCCCCTTCCATGTTACAATAATCCCTGTTGAGATTCTGCTAGGCTAGATATTTGGACTGACGCCATCGCAGAATCTCTGGACAACAATTAATAATTCACGTCTGGAAATTAGGCCCCAACTTCGGCTGACTGTCTGTTTTTTACCCTATGTGATTTCAATAGCCACAGTAGACTTGGTTCAGAAGCACATAGTGTAAAAACAGACTATAGGAACTCTTTTATTCGAGGAGGTAAACAATTTTGTCACGGGAGCCATATCTTAAATGCAGATTTCAGTGAATATTTTTATGTTGGGATTTACATGCCTAAACGGTAAGCTATGTAGAAATAATAGTGACAGAGAGTCAAATAAACAACTAAATGACTTAACTGAAGCGAACGTCAGTGTGGTCTAGGTAAATAATGCTTGCAATAGTCGGCCGAAGTTGGGGCCTAATTTTCAGACATGAATTATTAATTGTTGTCCAGAGATTCTGCGATGGCGTCAGTCCAAATATCTAGCCTAGCAGAATCTCAACAGGGATTAATGTTACAACTGTAACAAAGTGCAATTTTCTGTGAATACTTTAAAAAAATTGCTAATTTAAGAAATAAAATTGATTAATTAGCTAAATAAAGCTACTCATGGTATGTAAATAAAGCTACGTAGATAATTGAAGCTGCGTAGCAAAAGCTAGTGGTTGTACCAGTCCTTTTATCAAGTTATAAAACACCTAATGCGTTGTTTAGAAACATGCAAAATGATAATTTAAAATTACGTCGTTTTCTTACCAAGTTATTATGTTCTGGGATTCGCCACGCCCACAGACGATAGCATTGTCTGTACATGGCTAGAAATTTGCATTTTTCTTACAAAAGTGAAAAAGAAGAAAACATGTTTGTCCATTCTGACATTGATCAATGTCATTCATCAACATTTGTTATCCCTCAGAATAAAACTTTCTTAAACACTTTAAAGACCCTGAACAAAAAAAAAACAAGTCAGTTTGTACAGAAAATTCTATGATTTATTTGTATTATTAAACTTTCAATCTAATGTTTGTGAAAAAAAGTACTGAATAACTGATAACAACAAACTGTAATCATAAAAAAGAAACAGTTTTAACACCTCTCCCAATTATATCAATGTACAACTTAATAATTTACTTTCATTTTCACTTTGTCTTACAATGAAGAAAAAGAGAGTTGCACATTTGTTGTCCTATCAATTCAGAGAAACATTTTATAAATTTTCTTCTCTATCAAGAGTGAGAAATTTTTATAAAAGAAATATATATATAAGTAAATATAATGAATCAAGTTTTGATGAACTTCAAAATTGTTTACACTATGTTTTGTTTAGCACTGACCTTTTTCAATAGAGAATACATTTCTGTGACTTTGGAAATGTAAATTGTACCAATATTTGCAGAACTGTAATAATAAACTAACATGACTTAGATTGTTGCCTTCCGTATATGAACTTTAAAGCTTTTGTTTGAATTTCTGTCAGCTTGCTCATCAATGCATTACAACAAAAGATGTGAATAAAGAAATGTGCAGATACCATGTGAAAATTTTGAAGAAGATAGCAATGAAGAATGTGATAAGGCTGTATGTACCAAGTTTTTTCAATCATCAAGAAGTAATAATACTTAATTTAAGTGAAAAATATGCTGAATATAGTGTAATAAAAGAAATTGACACCATACAGCTAATGTTTTATACAAAACAATTTCCTCTTTGTCAGTTTGGTATTAAATGATAACCATCATCCAATGAGTAACTCTTTAATTAACATTGAAGAAATATGGAAATAATATTACATTGAAAATGAAATTTAATCTTTGCTAGTTTTGGTAAAACATTCAACATGTTTATCACAACTGTACTTCAGTCAGCATGTTTATGCACATTTTAAGAAGTCATTTTTTTAATCAAAACTTGTCTAATAATATATTAAATTAATAAAAATTCAAATTAGGCACTCTTGTTTTGAATTTGAAAAAAGTTACTTAAAATTTCCGGCCAAAATCATGAAATTTTTTATGTTTCATCTTTTTTATTCATCTGTTTTCATAAATTTATCTTCTAGTACACATTTACATTGTATTCCATAAGAAAAATCCAAAAAATAACAAAAAAAAAGTTTTATTTAAAAATCTCTTATATTTTCAAGGCTTTTTTTTTAATTTTTCATATTTTCTAAATATGTCCAGGAAAAGTTTTCCTGTCCACATGCAGTGTGATTCTGATATATATATTTTACATGCCAGGAAAAGTTTTCTTGGCACTTAAAAAATCAAATTGTTAAAAAGCCTGGAAAACGTCAGAGATTGCGGACTAAAGGTAGAGCTCTAGGCCTGCTTCTCTCATGTAAAGAACAAGGTTCACTTAGGACCCTTTTATGACTCTGTGTCAGAAATTCTGAAGAATCAAAACTGCCCAGTTTTTAATTCAAAATACATTCACATGGACCTTTGATGACTGCATGTCTATTAAAAACGATTTTATTTTCTACCTAGTGCCAGTCGACATATGACATCATGAATTGTGTCTTTATCCTCAAATCCTAAATTAAAAAAAAAAAAAAAAAAGAGTACAAAAAAAACTCTATATTTCTGTTTCAATTTTTTTCCAAAGACCAAAACTTCTGTTCCAAAATATTCAGTTATATAACAAAGGAATTGTTTCAGAAGATTATCCATGTTTTATTTTTCTTTGCTAAAGGTACTCAGATGCACCTATTTTCTTCAAATTCAAGAACATTGCAAATTTCAGAAAGTCTCTTTGGTATTAGACTATTTACGGTTAAAGTTAATCTAGCTCTCTTTGTCTCCTATAAAATTACCTATTTCAACTAACCTTCTAATGACTATTCAGAACAAACATTTACTTTTTTAACACTATTTTCTTTCAACAGCCACACAAATATAAAGAGGAAAATTTGCAAGAAATGTGACATGTTGCTGCATGCTGGAATTACAGCAAAAGTTAAACTACCAGTAAGTATAGCATGCTAGAATCTAACAAAAGTTAAACTACCAGTAAGTATAGCATGGGAGAATATTACAATAGTTTAACTCTACAGTAAGTATAAGGGGGTATATGAAAATTTCTGAGGACTCTGGGTAAAATATTCAACCATTTAAGAAAGTCAATGAGATCAGTATCATTGAAATTTAAAAAGATCAGGAAAATTTACACATTTTGTGATGTCACTGTAATTTAAAGCTTGTAAACAACTCCATAATTGATCTCAGAATATATTCTATATGTTTAGCAAACTGACGAAAAATGATGTAACAACAGACATAACCTCACAAAGTCAGGGGTCCTAGTTTATAGACATAACCTCACAAAGTCAAGGGTCCTAGTTTACAGACATAACCTCACAGAGTCAGGGGTCCTAGTTTACAGACATAACCTCACAAAGTCAGGGGTGACCATAAAATTGATGTGACAAGAGACATAACCTCAGAATGTCAGGGGTCCTAGGTGAATTTAATTCCTATGGACCCGACAAATTTCATTCCATATCTTGTGGGCTGACTGCAGCCATGTCTTTTGCGAAAATTACAATTCTTGATTTTTTTTTTATCGCTCAACCAATTGGATTAAGCCTTCCAGTAATAAACAATGCATAACACATGCTTTTTGGTGTCAATACTGATTCCTTTCTGTTTACATTATATCTGTCTATTTCAATATGATTGATGCTTCTCAATGAGAGAAGCAAGCCCAAAGATGTCAAATGAAATTTGTCAGGCAGGGGTCCATTGGCAGTGAGTTGACACAGGACCCCAGGCATTGTGAGGATGGGGACACAATTTCAGCAACACAAAAATTGAAATTTTCAGTCTCAAAATCTGCTTACCTATTACTTGGACCCTGTCAAACAGAAACTATTGCAAATTGGAATAATGTTAACATTATCTACTAATTGACCGAAGTCTATCATATGGAAATAATAGAAATTTCTGTGAAATTCTTTCAAAATGCTACTCAGTTTTGGTGGTACTAGCAAACAAGTAGTGAGATCTTTTCTGTGTATCATTTTTAACAAGTTCATTTTTTAAAGCTCAAGAATATGTAAACCATCATTAGCAAAGTAATGAAAGTATGGGTTTTCATTACTGTACATGTATTTCCAAAAGTAGTGGATGAAAACCCCATATAGATGGTATGATCTGTTTTACATACTTGGGTAAATCTTTGCCTTAATTTTATAATTTTTTCAGGCGTACCCCTGAACAATCATCAGTTGGACTAAATGTCATGCATAACATATATGTACTTGTTAGATGGAAAGGTGACCAAGCGCAGGGCCATTTAACTTGTAGTTAGCATTCAAAAACATCCTTATACATCAGCAGCTAGGAATAATTATGTTTGTTTTATGTATATAATATTTAATACATATTATATATTCATGTATATACCGGTATTTTATCCTGCTGAGCCTTGATGTTAATTAGCAGGAGTTGATATGTTTTAATATTAATAATACTTCTTTGCATTGCTACTAACTGTGTCCATGTTGTAGAGAAGCCAAACAGAGCAGTCACAGTGCAGTGTATCCAGTGTAAAAGTGTAAAGAAATTTCCATGTAATGACCCAAATTATAAGATATGGATAGAGAAATACGAAAACTCTGAAGAAATGAACACAAAGTCATAAAACTACCATTGAAGAAGTAGCTGAGAATTAATGGAAAGTGCTTCTCCTTGTAAGGCCACTAATAATGAGACATTGGGAAGCATAATCTGTGTGGACTGAAGAGAGAAGCAGAAAATTTAGTAGGCTTTTCAGTCTGTCACTTTAAGATTAATGAAAACCTTTGTCTGCAACTGCTGTTTGTTTGAAGTTAAGGTCAAGCCTATTTGCATTCATTCAAGGCTGATTTTATATAACACAAAAAAAAAATACATTAAAATGTATGAAATCAGAAATTTATTTGTACAAAGATGTATGTTAAAAAAATATCAACAGCATTGAGTTTACTCCTGATAAAAAAATTAAATAAATTATACCCATACAATGTAATGTATTTAATATTCCTTTCGTTCTATTATTTGATTACGGTAGTAATTATAAAAAACAATGTACATGTACAAAAATGTACTGGTTTTTATCTCTCACAACATTGATGCCTTCCAGTTATAAAAATGCATAACACATGCTTTTTGGCCAATGTACATTATATTTTTTCAAATGATTGATGTTTCTATTAAAATTAACATCAATGGTATTGAGTTGCATTCCTTTTAATTTAAACAATTGAATGAATCATACATATACAATGTAATGCATTCGTTCCATTCCAATATTTAGTAAATTAATTATAAAAATCGTATTTGTGAAATATTCATGACCCCCTACTGCAGCTTAAAGCCAAGGTAAAGGATTGTTTTTCAGATGGAGGTCAAGGTTAAGAATTTCAAAATGTTAGTATTATAGAATGTTAGTCCTTAAAAGCCCTAACACCAACCAATCAGAAAATAAGGACATGGTTAATGTTTTCGTAAGTAGTTCACTGGGCTGTCAAAAATATTGGTACCAAAGAAAAGGTCAGGACTCTCACAGGGAGTACTTTTCATATAAGCAAAATATAAAAGCCCTAGCTCCAAACATTCAAAACATATATGCAAGTGAGTTAAGGCGAAATAAAGGCGTTTCTATGCAAATTAGTTTGTAAAAAATGCATAAGTTGTCTACTTTATACACAGAAAAAGTTCTAATAGATTTTCCTATTCATACTTAGTACCCACAGCATGTTAAAGCTAGTACACATTATGACCAGTGTATAATGACGTTTCATTAATGACCTGAATTATAAGATATGGTAATACATTTTGAAATACACAAAGTCATAAAAACAACGTAGGCTGAGAATTAATGGATATCCTATCTAATTTAAAATAACTAATAATGCATTATATTGTGGACTGGAGAGAAGCGAGTTTCTTTAGTCTAAAAATTATTATTATTGATTTTATCGCACAAATCCAATCATGAAAATGTATGAAATCAGAAATTTATTTGTACAAAGATGTATGTTAAAAATAATATTAACAGCATTGAGTTTACTCCTGATAAATAAATGAAATGAATTATACCCGTTCAATGTAATGTATTCAATATTCCCACTGTTCCAATATTTGATTACAGTAGTAATTATAAAAACAATGTACATGTCTGTACTGGTATTTGTACAACACTGATGCCCCCATATGGAAGTGCAAGGCCATTAGGCCAATGTAAAAGTTTTTCAAATGAAAGAGTATATTAAAATTAACATCAATGGTATTGAGTTGCATTCCTTTTAATTTAAACAGTTGAATGAATCATACATATACAATGTAATGCATTCGTTCTATTCCAATATTTCGTAAATTAACTTAAAAATATTGATGACCCCCTATTGCAGTTTAAGGTCAAGGTAAAGGTTTTTTTTTTCAATTGGAGGTCAAGGTTAAAAATTTTAAAATGTTAGTATTATAGAATGTTAGTACTGGGATATCCTAAATCGTGGGTAGCCCTAACACCAATGTATCAGAAAACAAGGACATGGTTAATGTTTTCTGTGCAGTAGGATGTAAAAATTTTGGTTGTAAAAGATTTTTTGCAAGTAAACTTTTAATATAAGCAAAATATAAAAGCTCTAGCTCCAAACATTCAAAACATATATTTTTTCCATGAACTCTACTTCATTTCTATTTTGTGAGGGCATGGTCATTTACCTTTTGCGGGAACAAGATTACATGTACCTTTGATTTTTAGTTCTTAACAGTTCAGTACAGATATTTAAATTATTAAAACTTGTTAATTACGCAATGAATTAAAGATTGGCATTAAATTGTCATGTGATATCAGGAAATACATCAGCTCCAAAACTGCTCAAAAGCCTTTGTTTTAAAGCATCATTCACCTTGATGATCACAATCAAAATTCTGACACAAATTGCTGGGAGGAAAGTTCAACATTTGTTCTGGAAGACTTGCTTTTTAACCCTGCTTCCCTAAAAAGAAAACAAAAAAATAAAACCAATGAATGATTTGTGTATCTTGTAAAGAGATCTACATTCCAGATGTATTGACATGCACTTTATTTTCAATATGAATATATATTTTTAAATAAGATTTACCTTCAAATGCTTGAAATTTGAGGGAAGCACTGAATATTCAGTATCTATTCATTCCTTTCTTTGGGCCATCTCCAAGAAACTCATGTCCAAGTCCATTCCCACATTTGGAACATGATATCTAAAATCAAAACATGATTTAGCTTACAACAAAGAATTTAAACTGCTGGAAATGCAAACTTTGATCAACATGTTGTTCTGCTTTATATGTTTTCATTAATAGTGTGAAAACACTCACTGTATATAAAAGGGAAATTTCTGCAGTTGGAAAATTTTGCAATTTAACTTTCACAAGGTAGGAAAGTACTATTAATTTATGCAGTTTTGACTGTGTTTAGGTGAATTATTTTGATAAGAAACGTTTACCTTTCAACTGTCCCAAACAGACCTATATAGTTTGAATTTTTGGTTAAAATTTTTAAAAAAATATTTCCATTCTGAAGTCCATAATGAGGGTCATACAAAAAAGTCTTGTAAAGTACATATACACTTGCCGAGAAAATGTCAAGAAGACATTATCATTATGTATGTAAAAAATATTTTTTGGGTGTCCCTGTGTTAGGTCAACATGGACGTAAGAATGCATTTCTTTCGACTGATATCCCCAAAACTGTTAGATGATTTACCAAAGTTAGAAAATGGAGAAATTTCCCAAACAGTGCAAAAAAAATCTTGCACCGTAGATAGCATATGCATATTTTTTGCATTACAGACTAAGGCCGGAATTAAAAATATCTTTGTTTCCCCTAACCCGACCCCAAATTCTCAAGTTGGGTCGGTAGGTAGGTAAACAATTTTCTTTTTCTGACAGCAGCTTTGAAAATATATTCTAAAATTTAATGGAAATTTACCGTTCTAAATAAGAAAAGTACGAAAGAAAGCGATTTGTGAACAAAATGCTAAGTACATATGTATCATACATAGGCCGTTTAAAAGCAAATTCATGATAAACTGTTATTCAGTTGAACTTGTGAAATATCTCAAGCCAGAGTACATTTCTATAAATCGAATAAAAAAGACAATATTCTCAAATACGCAAAGATCGAACATCCGAGTATATTTGTTCAAACCTTCCATCAGCCTCCAGTGCTTATAGACAATAAATTAGCTTTTTTGAGGGGCATGAGATTTACAGTGGTTCTAGAGCATTTTGCTTTGGATTAAGAAGTATGTGGCTAATTTGAAGTCGCAGGTTCAAATCCCAAAAGAGGAACGTTTAAAACGGTCCCTCAAAAGGGACTATAAAAACTTATGTCCTGTGTCGCAGAAAATGTTGGCTCAAAAAAGTGCTGAGTACGTCTGGAGCAATAGAAAAATGTTCAAATGTCGTCCCAACAAATCTCGAAGGAATTTAAAGCAAAGAAACAACCAATATTCAATGGCCTAATTAAAGAAAAATACACTGGACGTCTCAGGAGGTTGAATCATGATTTCAAAATTATTTGGAAAGAGTATGTAAACAATAATTAATTAAACCAAGCGCAATCTACAATTGGTAAATATGCTATATTCAATGTCATAGTCACGAAGTTTAACCCATAAATAAAGGCATGAAGAAAGGACATCTACTACTGTTTATCAGGAAAAATATGCAGATAAATTTACAACAACTCCTAATATAAAGTTCCATAATGGCATATAGTAAACATAGGAACATAGCTAAACCCATTATTCGGTCAAACCTCAAATTAAATAAAATTCAGTGAAATCGAATGATGTGTTCACTAGGTGGGCCCCTCACCATTGTTTTATGAAGACCTAATTCTCTGTAATCACATCTGGTCGCCATTTTAACAAGTGCTTGAAAATCACAGTAGAACAATGTCAGCCGTTCTGATAAAAACTGATTTTCATGAAATTATATTTTATGAAACTTGGTTAACAATAAAAAAAATATTTGAATCATCTTATTTAAAAAATCTTTCCAGTCGGCGTGATTTAATTGGGTCGGTCGCGTTAGGGGAAACAAAGGTATTTTTTATTTTGGCCCAATATATATATATAAAACCATACAGTTCTGCAGCTAGAATAGGATTAAATTAAGAAATGAATTTAATTTTTGAAGATTCATGAGGTTATGAACTAGGACGCTTCATGACGTCATATTTCATGAAGCGCTAACGCGCTTCATGAAATACACCGTCGTGAAGCGTTGTAGTTCTGAATCATATACCTCAAGAATCTTCAAAAATTAAATTCATTTCTTATATTTTATGATTCTTAAAGGGGAAAACATACCATACAAGAAATAATACCCAAAGTAATGAACATAAAGGCATAAAATGATAAATCCAAATTATTACAATGCTTGGATCTGTAGCTCTCTGTCTGAATTTTCTCAAACAGAGAGCTACAGTTCTGCAGCTATTAAAGACGTACAACACACTGGGGGAGATAACTCTTGCGATTTCAATTGAACGTTTGACGTGACGTCAAATTTAACGTCAAAAATAAAGCGTCAAAACGACGAGTAAAACGATCCCGATGTATATCAATCATGAAAGAAAATTGGGATATGGGGCTTTAAGCTGTGATTGTGCGTACCATACTCAATCAATAAATACTAGTATTTCTTTAATTAACCCAATTAAACTCCGTAAAAAGCAAGGCATAAAATACCATCCCTTAATGTTTATTTCATTTCATTTCATATACAATAAATTGTATTTTTTATCAAAGCGCAGCATTTTTTTTTATTCTGAAAACTTTATTTTACATTGCCGAAATTCTCATTATGTACAATTGGCTATATAACATTCCGATTAATGATCTTCATTACAATTTGTGCATACACGATATAAATGCATGTATTGTTTTTCTTCTTTAATTAAATAAAACAACAATAAATAAACAAAAAACTTTTTACAATGCGAAATCGATATTGTTCTCAGACTCTTACTGATCAAAGAGGAACAACTCTGAAAATGTAGGAGATGTTTATTTTCCTCCCTTTATTCACGGTTTTCCACAGAATCAGATGTACATTTACAGCAAGACCTGATAAATTCGAGAATTGAGTACTATAGACCTCATATACACAATGTAAGTATAGAATTGAAAAGAATTGTTCACTTGTACTGAAATTATCTGCATTTATGAATATCCTATTGCAGCAAGTCGTAACTTTGACTTTCTGTCAACAATGTCGGTTCGCATTTCCTCGAATCAAAACAAAATGTATCCTATAAGATTTTTAAAAATATCAATGTGCGATTTGATATAAATTGAAATAGATGAAGAGTTTAATGTTTGATATTTTGAAGTTAATGTGGACGAATGCGGAATTTTCAATTTAACTTTAGAAGCGACGACATTGAAAGAATGCGTACAATATCATGAGGGGTGTTTGTACATCTAATGTAAATGTCGATGTATACCCACGGCCACATAATGTCTCGTTTGAAATAATGACATGAAAGAAACTACAATTATTCCATTTATATCACAGGAGAGTTGAACATACACCATTTTTCATGTTTTTAATGAATAAAATTAAAGAAATAAAATTAAAAAGAAACATATTCACGTTCAACAAAACGAATTCGTATCCAGGTTTCATGTGATATGGAATGCATAATGCATACCTATATGGACTAAACACTAAAATCTTTCAGTAATATTTTCCTGATACATATAAAAAGAGTAGTCAATATTTATTCTGCATTCATGAATTTAAAAACTAATGCATACCTCCGGGATTCTTGACGAAATACCAGTATATTTGCACTGTAAACGACGTTTCGTCAAACGCTAATGGTCTGCGACGCAAAAAAGGATGGGGTGGGGGTGATAGGGGTATTCAAATATTGCCTTAAAATCTACATTTAAATACGCTTTACATATGAGAACTTTTAAATTTGTAAGTTAATATATTTTTCAAGCAAAAGCAATATTCTAATTTAATTTTTTTAATGTGTATTTGTAGATTCATACAACAAAGTGATCGACCCCCGTCTGAAAGACGCGCGGGAACGTGATTTATTGAGAAAGGGGGAGGGGGTAATTTTCCGCTATTAAATCAAAACTGGTCGTACAAAAATTATACAAAAAATTATGAAGATTATTTTTACTACCAGCTACCTAAAGAAAGTTTCTTACCAAAAATTAAACGACAGGATTTTTCACAAAAAAAAATTTGAATTTGAAAAATACGCTATTTTTAAGGCTTAGAAAACTCATAGTTTTTCAGTTTAAGGTCTTTAAAAATTGTTTTGATGATATTTATATCAAAAAGATGACTATGTTTTTGTATTAAATGGTTAAAGGAATAAGCCAATGAAATTTGACATTTATATCTAACCTGGTTTTTTTGAAAATCAAGGTTTAAAAAGTTCATTGATTAAAAATTTTCTCTCCTTGTAAACAACTAAAGGGGGGTAACTTTCGGAAGTTCCTGTCCAAAAACCACTCGAACGATTTTGTCCAAAATATGCATATACATGCAGTAGATATAGTCATGAACTAAATATACAAAAATTACGAAAATTAAACGACAGGAATTTTTTGGGGTAGGTGTGTTGTACATCCTTAAGTGATATACCTCCACAAATTACAATGATTCCATAATTTTATTTCACTTTTAAAAAAGCATGATTAGAATTGTGTTCTATATTAAACACACCTTTATGGCTGTTGGGCTCTCGCTGACCCGAGACACTGAGTCCTCCCTGATCAGATGAGTAAAGGCCGGCCAGGGGGAAGAGTGCTCATATTTTGTCTGACTATGGAAGAGTTCATTTCCACAATTGGAACAAACATATATTCCTGAAAGTTAAATATTTCTTGTTTAATACTGTCTCAAACTCCTCTTTTAACAAGTATGTAATAGAGACCATTATCTTGAAATGATTTGTGATAAATGTTGAGAGATTCTACATGTTTTTTTCAAATGAAAAGGTAAAGATACATGTCTATCTGAAAATACATTCTATCTATAGACATGATAGATGTCAGATTCAAAGATTGAAGACTTACGTAACTTTGATTTTTTCAAGTTTATGAAGTCATGTTATATACATATATTATTTAATTTTAAATACCTAAGATTGAGTCTGAAATTTCTTGTACCTTTTTCAAAGTGATCTCGAAATTTTTCCCCAGAAAACCAACCACAGAATGACATCTTCCTGGCTCACTCAGTTGCTGGTCACTTGTTTTTGTGACTAATGTCACAGAATGTCGAACCCGATTTTAAATACAATCCAGACATCCAATCTCCCATGCAGGAGTTGTCGTTCGTTCCTCTCTCAGACAGTAATATGAGCCGGTATAGAGTTTTCAACTTTTGTCAGACATCGGTAAGAATCTATGGGGCGCCGTTTTAATATTTTTAAGGTATTTTCTGATATCACAAAATGATTTTCTCAATTTTTTTTTACACCAGAAAGGAGATGGGTGAACATGTCGAGAGATAAGCCCATAACGCGACAAACATGAAGGTGAAAAATTAAATCTCAATTATATCAAAATCTTCCTTAGTTAATATTTCATCATGGAACATTTAAGTATACTTTTATGTAAAATCTCTACAACTTGCACAATTCTCATGAAGATTGAAGTTATTTGCCTGTGTAATATTATACACATACGAAAGAGGACAAAACGAGTCATTTTTTCACATTATAACACTATTTTTCGTTATGAGTGGGTCTTCTCTCCATTTTTTTGAAAGGTAAATCCTCAAAGTTTGCATAAAACATACATATTTTGGTTTCCAAAATTATGGAGCAAAAACCCACTATACCTTAAAAATATAATTTTATGACATAACTTTTGTATCTCTTCGAGAAATACTAGAAGTCCCTTAAGTCAATGGTCATATCACAAACATGATTTAAATGGCATGTACTTTATTAGAACATGTGTAGCGTAGTGGTTACCGTGCTGGTCTCAAAAGAGAATGTAGCGTAGGATTTTTATTGCCAGGGTTCGAACCCAACGGATACCACCACATTATTATTTGTTTTTATAAAAGAATAAATTTTTACGATAAATTTTCCTCAAAACTTTTTGTTTCTCACGATTTCATAAAAATCAATTATGAGAACTTAACTCTAAATACTAAATTCACAATTTGAATATTATTATTATATATCTGAAGCTATTGGGCTTTCTGCACGCTAAGTTCACCCATCTCCTTCGATTGTTTGCTACAAAAAATCATGTTCTAATATCAGAAAAATAAACTGATTTCAGTAAATAAACGAGTTTTTTTAATATCAAAAATTCGAATTGCTGTTATCATAAAATCACAAATTGTGATATCAGAAATTCGGGCGGATTTTATTTGATATAAAAAATTCAACAATATTGATAAATAGTCTTTCATATTTCATTTACCTGCACACTATATAGTATGTCGTCTCAAAAGGAGTTCAACAATATTGATATATCAGTTACCTGCATACTATATTGTATGTCGTCTCAAAAGGACTTTGGAAATTTAAACCCACCCACCCCCACAACACAATAATTGTTGTAACGGAAACATTTTATTGTCTAAATGCTTTACCAATTGCTCTACCAATTGATATAAAGAAATGATTTACCCACTAGCCCAAACTAGTAGGATGCCGTGTATCTTACGTACACTACTATATCGCCATTTTCAGAGAAAGAGATGTCATCATCTCTTTTGGAGTGCCGACGCCTGTGGCGCGAAGTTCTGGGGGGTAATCACCTTTAGCTCACCCGCCAGATAATATCCGGTTCACAACGTGGGCGCCAAAATGTTAACAGACTTGTGTGATAATATGGTGATGGATAAATAACACGACTTTTATAAAATTTAATAATATATTAATAAATAACAAATTGTAAATATTCAGCATCAAAATGCAGGTAGTTGATTAATCAATATACATGTACAATCCATATGTATTTAGCTTTATCAATATCAAAGGGAGACAATCCAATTATTTGAAATGAATGCAATCAAATACACTGTATATTGAATCTCCCACTTTTTAAATCAAGGAATGTTTATCAAAAAACATTATAATAACTATCTTGACAACGTATATATACATATACATCATTAGTTATTGTCAACAATTTGTAAACTATAGGTACTGTGAGCAGTGAGCTCACTAAATGATACACCCGCCCCCCACATGAATATAATGTCAGTGTTCATGTTCTGCTATGGGAAACCCAAAATATTTGTCGGGTCAAAAACTAAAATAGGAGGTGCACAATGGCAATATGTAATAAAGATTCTGTGTTGATTGATTCATTGTATATAGTTTAACGTCCCTCTCAAGAATTTTTCACTCATATGGAGACGCCACCACTTGTCGATGGAGAGCTGCAAATTTTTTTCCTATACTCGGCACTTAGGGCCATTGAGCAGGGAGGGATCTTTTTCGTGCCAGCACCTACTGCAACACGGGACCTCGGTTTATACGGTTTCCTCCGAAGGACCGGAAAATTTTTTAACATTTTTTTTTACGAAATGGGTGGGAAAATGGTCTTTGTGTCTTTCCGATCGCCATGCAATTTTCCTTTTTTTTCAAGCGTAAAATTAATAGTAATTGATAATGTTATTCTCATTCAGCTGATCTGTCAGTTCAAGTCATGTTGGTGCCTCATTTGCTAATCTGACGCAAAAAAAAAAAAAAAAATAGTCCCGGTTCCCATGGAAAAATGTTTGTCCAAAAAGAAATTTTAATTCATGACTGCAGAAAATTGTATCATAGAGAATACTTATCAAAGTTTGAATAAATTCAAGAGAGATCGATTAAGCACATTTCTACAGATATTATAGAGTGGTGAAAACTGAAACGCAACATAATTTTTTCTGTTTACCACGTTTCCAAGTGCTAGGCACTTCCTAGCCACATTTCCGTGAATAATTTACCCTATCTCGCTAAAGTCTCTCTAACTCTCGTCAGAGCCATGGCCAGAGCTACTCTGAACCCATCGGGCTTTATAATTTGCAGAACACCGAAAAATAAAAGGTTCCGAACACATTAGTAGGAGTGATAACCGTCTTCCTTGGAAGACGGTATTGTATAGTTGAAGTTTTTTACAGTCTTCGGACTATGCACTTCCTCTCTTTTGTGATTGGTAGAAAATGCATGATGAGAAAATTTTCAATTATTTCATTGGTTGAAATGCTGTTCAAGGCAAGGGAGATAACTTTCTGATGATCTAATTTTCGTACGACTTAACAATTTTGCAAGATTTTCAATCTTAAAAAAAAATGACAAAACGAACAACAAAATCAGCAGTAATTAATTCCTAATAACATGATTTTTTGTACAGCAAAAAATAAAAAGATCTCTTTAACTTCATTATAAATAAAATTTGATTTTTATTGCTTGCAGGCTTTACAATTTGTTATTATTCTTTTCCCCTTTCTTGTTTGAAGAAGGAAATGGAATCAGCCGAGGTTTGCCGAAAGCTCTCGGCGAGTCAAAGTTTACGGAGATGACCGAACGACAACCGTGGTAGGGCTAATGCCAGTAAAAAGCTAATGTAGAAATACAAAATCAAGAAATTCAAAAGAATTATACGGCCTGATAGGTGTAGATCAGTTTACAGTTTAAGAGTGTTGCTAAAGACGGGAAGCTTTTTTAAAAAGCTCTACTTGTTCACTGATTTGAATGAAATTCAAATAAGAACACGTGACTGAATAAGCAAGATGGTAGAACACCTTTGACGTCCGAGGTAAGTGTGCGAGGACCGAGTCACCCGAGGAGCTCTGAATGTGTTTGTGGTGTGTATCCTTAATTATTAAACCACTGGAACCAAGAAATTTCGAACTGTCCAGTTTTCACGTGTATTTTAGTCAAAGACTTTTAAAATAACTTTAATTTTCCCTTTTCATTATATAACATTTCTCATGCGTTTTTCATGATTTTTCATTTATCTTATAGTATGTATACACGATAGTGAAGTGTAATAAATTAATTTGTGAGCAAAACAAACTAACAAGTTCTTCTGGGGTGCTTAAATTCATTGCTGCATGTAATTCATTGTCTCCAAGAACGATGAGATATCAAACGGAAAGGAAAGTAATGGAATATATATGGATCAAGATAACGAACAGTATTCATGATCAAAAGTCCATTAAACAATACAAAATAGGAGCAGACCAAACAAGGACCTCCAAAACATCGGAGGTGGGATCAGGTGCCATGGAGGAGGACGCATCCCCTGCCGCCTGGCCACACCCGCCGTGTGCTCCTTGTCATGATCGAGAAATGACGAAAAAATCCATCGTCAATTCAGTGTATAAATAATGGACTAACAATAAGGATAAAAAACCTCAGTCAGCATTTGACTCAATGATAAAATGTATTTGCTGACAAGGTCATTGTATCGTCCATAGAAATTACGAAATGATAACTCTAAACGAGACAGCTGAAATTCTAAATTGTTTCATCAACTTTGTTCATACGTAGAGCATGCTCTTGCGTATCGAATCAACTGAGAGATATAAACTCCGTATGCAGGTGATGAAGGTGTATTGCTGCATAAGAGAGGGAAGCTGACGATAGAAAAGTTAAACTCATCACGTTTATCATATATAGAGCTTGGTCTTTAAATTACCATTAACGTCCTTTTCAAGTAAAATATCCAAATATGAAAAAATAGCTTTTTCGTACCTACGCCATTACATTTGAACCATAGGAGAGAGAGACTGCATATTTGGTAGGCAAACTCCTCTGATTGAATTCTTTCAAATGGCACCAAGGTCAATGACTGTGACCTTGACTGATCTTTATGCTAAAAGTGTCCTTTTTGAACCTATAACATTCAAACCATGAGAGAAAGAAACTTAATATTTTGTAAGCATACTCCACAAATTCAGTTCTTTCAAATGACACGAAGGTCAATGACCTTGTGACCTTGAATGTGACCCATCTGCTAAAATAGCTTTTTCGAACTTTGTTGCCTCCGGGTGAATAGTGTTTCACAAACACACCTTGTCCTTTTGTCCCTCGCTTTCGCAAAAGCGAGGGGACATTAAATCTCATTCGTCTGTCCGTCAGTCTGTCAGTCTGTCCGTCACAAAAACTTTAACCTTGCCCATAACTTTTGATTTAGTGGAGCTATGACTTTCATATTTCACGTGTGTATTCCTTGTGACAAGACCTTTCTTTGGGTACTACCAACTTTGACATTTTGACTTTGACCTTGGAGTTTGACCCACTTTTACACAAAAGTTCCTAACT